ATCTCTCATCACACGTGTGCGCTGGCTGGGATGGTTTAGTTTTGAGTCTGCAACTTTGAGGTCAAGGGTTCAACCCCTTATGGAAGCTTCCTTTATTTTTAGCCACTTGTTTTATTTATTTATTTATTTTCTTTTCTTTCTCCTTTCACTTGTGAGTGAATTATTTAGTGTTTACTTGACCTTGTGCCATGATCCCCCTAGGATTCCTAGTCCCTCCGTTTAGGATGGGAGTAGGAGAGACATTAGGTATTCAATCCTTTGCATGATAACATTAGGAAGTTTCCCTTTACCTCAATCTTAGGATCACCATTGCATGACAACTTTAGGTTTGGTCTAGTCCCCCTTTAGTGTGTCTTTTCTCTTCTCATCTCCAAAACAATCACAAAACACCTAATAAAGGTTAATGATTATTGTGCGTTACGAGCCTTAAGCACTTGGGAAAGGTTTTTTGAGGGGTTTCCCTTCAATGACTTGGATGTTTAGTATAGCACCCTTTGGGTGATATGTGACGCATTCACTCCTAGGTCATAGTCTCTAGTGCGATATGAATTGCAAACAATTCAAAAACACTTCTTCTCTAAAAAACACAAAAACAAATCATTCAAACTTCTTTTTTCCCTTTGGGGCCTTTAATCTTGGAAAATCATTTTCATAAGGAGAGTTTTGTTAACTCTTGGTTCTATCGCAAACGGTAACGCCTAAGTCTCCAATGGTCGAGCTGCATACACCAAACTGCTAGAACTGATTGTTAACCCTACTCGGGTAAAACAGTTGAACAAACCTATGTTACCTTTTAGCCCGAACTACATTTGCTCTGATCTTTCATACCAAATGGAAGTACGTAGACACAAGACGCGATGTCTTGGCGAGCAACCTTCCCCCCTTTTTTCACCCGTAGTTAGCCGAACTACATTGACTCTGACTTCTCACTCCAGATGAGATACGTAGGCACAAAACGCCGTTGCTTTGCCGAGTCACTTCTTTTTTTCTTTTGTCCTCAAGCCTTTAGTTAGATAGTTTCAATCACCCTTTTTTAGATAGACAACAAGCGCGGATCCCGTCGAGTACGACGAACGTGAGCGGTGCTAATACCTTCCCCTTGCGTAACCGACTCCCGAACCCAAGATTTGTTTGCGATGACCAATCTTATCCCTCTTTTCGTTAGGTTTTCTCTGAGCGTTTCCTTTCCCTCTCTTGGGATATATAACGCACGGTGGCAACTCTTCTGTCATTGCCGACCTCGATTTTTGCAGTAGCGACAGTGAGCCAACTAACCTCAACCAATCCATGAAAGGTGAAAATTGGAAAGAAGCTATGATGGAAGAGCTTAGGGTGTTTGAGAAGAATCACACCTGTGAGTTGGCCAATAACTTAGTAAGAGAATTATATATGTAAATTTTGAGATAACTATACACAAGGGAAGAATAATATCAAAATGGTTTCTTCAAAGGCTAGGAATTGATTTCAATGATTACTATGCACCATTTTCCAAACTTGAAACCATAAGAATTGTGATGGCCATTTCAACATTCAAAGGGTGGAAGATGCATCAGTTGGATGTAAAGTCAACTTTTCTAAATGGACCACTACAAGAGGAGGTCTATGTCAAACAACCACCTGTTTTTGAGATTAAAATGCAAGAAGAAAAGGTGTATAGGCTGATAAAATTACTATATGGATTGAAAAAAGTATCTAGGGCATGGAACAAGAGAATTGATAGCTTTATCATAAAGTTAGGATTTAACAAATTCATATCAGAACATGGAGTGTATGTGAAAGGCTTAAGTGAACAAGATCAAATCATTATATGCATATATGTGGATGAAATATTGATAATAGGTTCAAATGAATCTGAAGTGACAAAGTTCAAGACCAACACGAAAGTAAAATTAAGAATCAAGAAACACAAACAAAAGCCTCTATCATATTGGTTGCTAAGACACCAATACTCCAAGGCATTCTCTAGGATGTGTGAACCACTGTGAGATACATTCGGGTAACTTGTTCCATTTGAAACGCAACCAGTCCATGAAAGAATATTCACATCCTCAACCAAATTTTCAATGATTACATCCTTATCTTGAAATATCTTTTCGTTCATGGCCTTCCAAATTGTCCAAATACACACAAACCAAATCGCCTTTATCTTCGACGGAGCATTGCGACCTCTGATCAGCAGACCTTCGAACTACAGCAGATGCTGCCAGCCTATATTATGCAAGGCATAACTCACTCCCAGCCACTGGCAGATGCATGTCCATAAAGTTACAAACAAAGGGCACTAAAAAAAAAGATGAGATAATGTTTCCTCGTTGCTGCACCTTCCCAGACACCTATTCACACCGATATCGTTCACTCCCCTTTTAACAAGATTATCAATAGTAGGAATTTTATTTTGAAATAATCTCCACACCAACCCTGACATTTTTGAAGGAATCGCCTTATTTCAAACTCTAGACCAAGGGATATTAGACACGTTTTGAGTTTCCGACCATATTCTCTTATAAACCTCTTTTACCAAATATTCCTCACCTTCTACATAAGACACTAGCCGTGATGCCAACCTATTAATATTCTTCCACCAAATCGAAGAATCATTACCCCATAAATTTAACAGGCCATTTCAAATTCCATATTTGTTGACTAAAGCCCTATATCACATACCTGAATTTTCTGAATTATTTTTCCATACCCACTTACCCAATAATGCCTCATTGAACACCCTCAAATTCCTTATTCCTAACCCCTCTTCTACAAACCTACACACTTTCTCCCAGCTCACCCAATTAATTTTTCTCTCTTCTTTGACACCTTCCCATATAAATTTTTAAAAAATAGATTCTAAATTAGAAATTATACCTGACGAGGTCCTGAAGGTAGAGAGAAAGTAAATTCGGGGTGCATATAAGACTGACTTTATTAGAACGACCATTCCTCCAAAAGGTAAATATTTGTTGTTCCATCTTGCTAACCTATTCTTCACTGTCTCAATCACCATTATCCAACTATTTTTCCTCATCAGATTCACCCCTATCGGAATACTGAGGTAGTTGAGAGGAACCAATTCTGCAATTCAGCACCTTTGCTACCTCTTCAATTCAAACTCTAGACACGTTGATACCTACCAATGAAATTTTTTGAATGTTAACCTTTAGACCGACATCGATTCAAACAGCAACATATTAGCTTTAATGATTATGATATTTGACCAACATTTCTCCCCTATGATGAGTGTACCGTCTGCGTATTGAAGGTGTGAAAACCAGTCTTCACCCGCCTCAAACTTATAACCTAAAAAACATTCCCAAATCACAAGCTTTCTTCATCAACAAGCTAAAACCTTCAGCTATAATTAGAAAGAGGAAATAGGACAACAAATCCCCTTATCTTAATCCGCGGCGCATCCTAAACTCCTTAGTTGGGCTTCCGTTTTCCAAAACCTAAACGGTTGACGAGTTTAAGCACCCCTTGATCCAATTAATCCACTTCACATGAAATCTCATTTTCTCCATAACACATATTAAATAATTCCAGTCAACTGAATCATATGCCTTTTCAAAATCTACTTAAAAAATATCGCTTCTTTCTTCTTGCGCCTAACCTCCTCCATAACTTCGTTTCCAACCACTATCCCGTCAAATATTTGCCTCTCGAATATAAATGCAAATTGATTCTTTGAGATGATTGTATTGATTTCCTTCTACAATTTGTTGGCCAACAGTTTGACAATAACTTTGTAAATGTACCCTATAAGTGATATTGGTCGAAAATCCGAGATTTTTTCGAGGTTGATCTTCTTAGGGATAAGGTCCAGAAAAGAACAATTTGCTTCTTTCATAAACCTGTTGTGCGAATGAAAGTCACTAAACACCTTCATTTTTTTAACTTACTCTAAATTATAGTTTTTAAATTGAATTTAATTTAAAAGTTAAATTATTATTTTTCTTAATTAATCATTCGATTAAATTTAATTTAAATGTTATGATTTAGAATAAATTAAATTACTCTTTATATATATATATATATATATATATATATATATATATATATATATATATATATATATTTATATATATATATATATATATATATATATATATATATATATATATATATATATATATATATATATATATATATATATATATATATATATATATATATATATATATATATATATATATAATGCAAAAATTACTTTAACTTTAATAAAAAAATAAAATATTAGTAATAATAAAATTACTAATGTATTTGATACCAAACTTTGTGGCCAACTGAAAATATAATTGGTAACTTTATCCTCAACATTTTCCTGTCCTCTCTTACTTCTTGTTTAGAGCAATGAATGCAAATTTACTCCATATGGTGTAAGTAACATTTATTACACAAGACATGGTAGTTGAAAGTAACCTCATGTGTCAGATTTGATGAAAAATCTTGAATCTGGAAAATGAGAATTGAATTGAAAACCATTAACTACATTCACCATTGGTACTAGTCCATTAATTCCAATCTTAAATAATCACACCTATATTCATGAAAAGAATTTACGCAGTAGATCATCAGTTCAATTCAAAGTTCAAACATCACAATTCAATTCAACCATAAAGTCAAATATCAAGAAATTATTATTAGTAGTAGAAGAAGAAAATTATTATTTTTTGCTTAGTAAAATTAAATGACGTCACGTCGTTTTGGAGTTTCTTCTCTCTCATAGCCACAGCCACCATTTAACTGACAACACCAGCTCAGACTTTCAGACGCAGTGGCATTTTCGTTATTTCATCTCTTGCCGTGTCGTTTCTTCAACACGTTACTGCTCATTACTTCCTCATTCACTCTAACTTTTTAACCAAAAGTTCATAGCCTTTTTCTTCGCTTTTCACTCTTTTCAGAAACCACCGTTATCGCCGCCGTACACGACGGCGATTTTGTAACTCTTTGGTTTCATGTGTTTTTCATACTCTGTTGCCGTTACTGTGCGTTGCCTCATCTAGCGGATGGGTTGCGTGCTTGGGACGGCGGCCGGTGACGGAGATCAACGTCGTCGACGGAGAGAGCAGCGGAAGGATTCTTCTGAGGGAAGAAATAATGTCGTTAGCGTTCGAGAGAAGCAAACGAGTCGTCATACTGGAGATTTTCCGGGGAATCTTCCGGCGCTGGAGCACCGGAAACCTATGCTTGATCCGTGTGCTGTGAATCAGCAGGGTTGGCCGTCTTGGTTGATGGCTGTTGCCGGTGAAGCAATCGGAGATTGGACTCCTCGTCGTGCAAATACGTTTGAGAAGCTTGCTAAGGTACTTACTTCCATGCTCCGGTTAAATTAACTCCGTTTGTTTGGGTTTTTCTGAGTAACTGATTTTTTCTGTGTTGATGGGTTTGTTTTTTGTTTAGATTGGGCAAGGGACGTATAGTAATGTGTATAAAGCTAGAGACCTTATTACAGGGAAGATTGTGGCTTTGAAGAAAGTGAGATTTGATAATTTAGAGCCAGAGAGTGTGAAGTTTATGGCAAGAGAGATACTTGTTATGAGAAAACTTGATCACCCTAATGTTCTAAAGCTTGAAGGAGTCGTTACTTCTAGAATGTCGTGCAGTCTTTATTTGGTATTTGAATATATGGAACATGATCTTGCAGGTCTTTCAGCTGGCCAAGGTGTTAAGTTCACTGAATCTCAGGTACTATAATTTTAACCTCGTGTTTGCTATGCTTAAGTAATGAACAAATTTGGGTATAATAGAGGTTGTAGTTTATTGATTTTGTTTCCTTTTAATGTGTTTAATAGCATAAAGTTCTTTCATTTGGTTAGCATTAACTTTCTTTCTAGAGTGTAGGCTTTTGATCTTGCTCTTAGGCTTTTCAAGGGGATATTGGGTCCCCTTCATTATTTTTACCATATTTAGTTTTCTATTTATTTTCATGATTCATGAATCTATATTGTCCAAGCTTCTCATTTGTCTATCTTAAAAAAAATCTTTCTTGTGAATGGTATGATATGTTTTTAAATGACATTTTGTCTCTGATGCAATTGCTTTGAATTTCCTTTATATATATTTTATATGCAGAAAGTGAGGCTATTAACTTATTATTACCTAAAATTGTGAATGATTTTGCTTTTTTGCTCTTATATGGAAAGAATTTTATCTAAGCAAGCTGTTATATTTCAAACAAAATAAGTATTTTGTGTGTTGATTAGTCTCCTAGGTTATTTGGTTGTTATGAAAATATTTTTTCAATTTTAGTCTACTCTTCAAATAGAAAACAGAAATTGCACATCACATAGGTGACTTTACATGCATACAACTGCAATATAAATATTAAATCATACCAGGCTTATTACCTGTTTCGTACATTAAATGCTTGGTGAAGTCACGTGAAGACGAGCTACTTTTTTAATCATCAGTGAGAGTAAGACTGGATGGAAGAAAGACTCGGGGTCATATTATGATAAAATGTTAAAACAAAACCCATACTGAAAGGCTAAATTGTCTCTCAGTGTCTTCTCTATGACAGGTTAAATGCTTTATGAAGCAATTACTTTCTGGTCTTGATCATTGCCACAGTCGAGGCGTGTTGCACCGTGATATCAAGGGTTCCAATCTGCTTATTGACAACGAAGGAATCCTTAAAATTGCAGATTTTGGATTGGCAACTTTCTATAATCCTAAGCAAAAGCAGTGCATGACAAGCAGAGTTGTGACACTTTGGTATCGACCCCCTGAGCTTCTTCTTGGAGCTACATTTTATGGTGTGGGTATTGACCTTTGGAGTGCTGGTTGCATTTTGGCAGAGCTGCTTGCTGGGAAGCCAATCATGCCTGGCCGAACAGAGGTATTGCTTTTCATCTTGTTTATAAATCCTAATTGTGATGCTTTCATCAGTTTTCAAATATTTCAAGTAATCGGTTTAGTAGTTCGCTTGCGGTTCATCTTGTTCCTTAAGGAGTATCACTTTTGAGGTCTTGTGTGCAGGTAACATGTATTTTTCTGACCATTTAATTGGAATGTTTTCTAGACACACCAACCAAATTGGGTAAGTTAGAGGCTAATGTTGGGCTGTGTCATCAACTTTGAATAAAGAAAACATGTTAAAGAGAGATGGGTTAAACAGAAATTGCAGAAAATGAGAACCATTCTGTTTAGGACAGTTGCTATGATATTCAGTTTATGCTACAAATTTTTTTGGGTTGCAGTATAACCTCACAAGTTTCCTTTATCTGTATCGAGATGTCTTTTATTGTTGCTCTAGAAATGTGTATTTTTCAGTATGATGTATTACTGACTTTTAGGTTGCTTGGGGCTAGGTTGAACAACTACACAAAATCTTTAAGTTGTGTGGCTCTCCAGCTGAGGAATATTGGAGGAAGTATAAATTGCCAAACGCTACTATCTTTAAGCCACAGCAGCCATATAAACGTTGTATATCAGAAACATTCAAGGATTTTCCTCAATCTTCACTACCTTTAATAGAAACTCTTCTTGCAATCGATCCTGATGGCCGTAGCACTGCATCAGCTGCTCTAAATCACGAAGTAAGTGATCCCTGTGAATTAACCTAACCTAACATCCTGAGAATTTAGATGCAACACATTTCATATCTGTGTTCTATCTGCAGTTTTTTACCACTGAGCCCTATGCCTGTGAACCGTCGAGTTTGCCAAAGTATCCTCCTAGCAAAGAATTGGATGTAAAAATGAGAGATGAAGAAGCTAGAAGGTTATTTTATTCTTTTTAGTATTTAACTTGACTGACTCTGTTCAGTTGCTCATGTGTTTTTTTTTCATTTCAACCCCAGGCAAAAAGCATTAAATGGAAAAGCTAATGCAGATGGTGGCAAAAGAGTCAGAGCACGGGAGCGTGGTCGGGCCATGCCGGCCCCCGAAGCCAATGCAGAGATCCAAACAAACTTAGATGTAAGTCAAACATACAGTTATTTTGTCTGTTATAGTCATACTTGACACTGTAATTTTCATTTTGTGTTTCTTATGTTACACGATTTGTCTGTAGTCATTTCACTTTCCTTATCCTTCAACCCAAGGTCTAGCATGTCACACATTTTCATGAATAATGTCTTATACTGACATACACTCAGGACTAATTTAAGTACCTTTTCATGAAATCTTATCACTGGTATTTATAAATCATAATGTCACCTGGAACTTGTGATAGATTCTTAAGCATTTGTTTACATGAGATTCTCTGATCATGTCTACCCTGATATTTAAAATATTATTTTTGTGATTTTTTTTTGTTTTGTTTTCTTTTGATTTAAAGACATTGAAGTTTGTGAGAAATTTGGTTGACTTGATGATGCTCTCATGGTGAATCGAGCTTTTCATTAAAATAATGTCTTGTGCAAACATGACATGTGTGTTTCACTGAATTTCAGAGGTGGAGAGTTGTGACCCACGCAAATGGTAAAAGCAAGAGTGAGAAATTTCCACCTCCTCATCAAGATGGAGCTGTTGGATATCCACAAGATGCATCAAGTAAAGGACCTGTTTCATTTGGTGCCCCAGACACATCCTTTAGTTCAGGGATATTCAATATGAAATCCTCTGGATCTTCAAGAAATCATGACGCTACAGGACTTCACAAAGGGACAAAAACTAAAAAAGAAGAATCTCAGATGGCTTCATCATGGAAATTTATGCGTCCATTCAAGCCATCAACAATTGGACTTTCAATGGATTTATTATTTAGGAGCAAATAATCACTTTCATTTGATTTTAGCATCCTATAATGAGATAAAGAATGATTTAGGCCTTGATACATCTTTTTTGGCATGACTCTCAATTTTTTTTCTTGCCGTGTTTCTCCTATTTTTTGATATTTCATTTGCATAAAGTTGTTGTTGTTGTATAATCATCTACAACGGGATCCATATATTTGTATATCTTAGGATCAAATCCACTGCTGTACAGTTTTGGGAAGCACTAATTCTTCATGACCTTGGAAATGTTCTTCCATCAAGCAAGAAAATAGTTTTCTTTTTCTTTTAAGTGCCGTCACGTCTAATGAGGTAAAGGACAAAAATCATATGCAGTATAATGAGTCTTGGTTGTTGAACCAAATATGAAATTTGTATTACTAGCATTTTCTTAAACGAGTTAACTCGTAATCGTCTCCTCAATCTTCGCTTTCTAAACTATGTTTCATCCATATGTTTCTATTAAGTCTGTGCACCCGTCATCCATGACATGATGATATCCTCACTTCCACTTTCCAACCACAAGACTAGTGTAAGATAAATAATCAATCACCCTAACCAAACCATCTCCACTTTCACATGTAATGTGGAATATAATTACTAGTATGTTTTAGTTAATGTGAACAAAGCCACGAGGATTTAAGTTTTAACAAATTGTGTTATGATTTCATGAACAATAAAATATAAATAGACAAGGTGTAAATAAGTTTAACAAATTGTGTTATGATTTTATGAACAATAAAATATAAATAGACAAATGTAAAATACTGTATATTTTTCTTTCTCATTAAGGTTCGGGTTGATTAAACAATTAATTGAAGTTTATAAATAGTTTTGACATCATGCAAAATGCGTTAATATTTAATTATCTTATTTTTGAGATTGTGAGATATTAAATCGAACTCTAGTTAGCATACTGTCGAAGTTTGCTCACATGTTGTTGTCGAAGACTTACATGTTGTAGTTGAATTGTGTTCTAGTATGTAGTTATCGAATTGGGTCTTGTGTTAAGGATCTAATTGTTTAAGTTAGTTTGTACTCTAAGTTAGCTTGTAATGAGTAATTGTTAAAAAGCCCATTAGTTTAGTATGTTAGGTTTTATTATAAATAACATACTAATCTCTCATCTTAAAGGTGGTGTGACAAAACCTAATTAGGGTGAGAGGATTATTTGTTATTCTTGAGTACTTGTAATCTGTTTTATAGAAAAAGTAAATAATAGCAGTTATAACCAATCCTTGTTGTTCTTCTTATTTTTCCTTAACCCTAACCCTTGTGTGTTTCTTGATCATAAAGAAACCGAGTATATTTTGTTTTAAGGCATCCTAATTCACAATAAATTGGTGCAGTGAGCATGGAGAAGATGCCTTCAACAAAGTATGAGATTGAAAAGTTCACTGGAGTGACGACTTCGGTATGTGACGCTTGAAAATGAAAGCCCTACTGGTTAAGCATGGTTGTTTGGAAGCGTTAAAGGGAGAGGTGGCCATGGATGCGGTGTTAACGGAAAAAGAAAAGATGACCATGATGGAGAAAGCCCACAACACAATATTGTTGAGCCTTGGAGATAAGGTTCTTCGACAGGTATCAAAGGAGACTACAACATCAAGGTTATGGTTGAAACTTGAAAATTTGTACATGACCAAATCTTTGGTGAATTGACTCTACCTGAAGCAAGCTTTGTATTCATTCAAGATGAGTGAAGACAAAGTGTTGGCTGAGCAATTGGATATGTTCAACAAGCTGATTCTTGATCTTGAAAATATTGATGTGAAAATCGATGATGAAGATCAAACACTGTTACTGTTGTGTGCTTTGCCTCGAACACATGCTCACTTCAAAGAAACTCTCTTGTATGAAAGGGGGTCCCTGAACTTTAAAGAAGTTCAATCAACCTTGTATTCTAAGGACCTGAACGAACGAAAGGAGCATAAAACTTCGACGGCGGGCAGAGGTTTGGCTGTTAAGGGAAACTTATTGTGAAAGGATGGTATGTTCGACAAGAAGAAAGGTAAAAGTTAGCAGAAGTCTTATAGTGGCGAAACATCTGATATTCGATGCTATCACCATAAGAAGAAGGGTCACACAAGAAAAGTGTCTCCTGAACACCTGAAAGATCATGGATGTAAAGATAATGGCGACACAACCATTGTTCAAGATGACTTCGAATCATCTGATGTTCTTGTGGTTTCAAGCGGCGACTCAAGAAAGGAGTGTATTATGGATTCAGGTTGCACTTGACACATGACTCCAAACAGAGAATTGTTCGAGGAGCTATGTAATCAAGATGGTGGATCAGTGATGCTGGGAAACAACAAATCTTGCAAAATTATAGGTATTGGATATGCGAGATTCAAGCTCCATGATGAGTTAATAAGGTTATTGACTGAAGTCAGGCATGTACTTGATTTGAAGAGAAATTTGATCTCTCTTGGTGAATTCGACAGGAAGGGATATGTTTTTCAAGGAGAGAAAAGTATCCTAAGAGTCATGAAGGGGTCGAAGGAAGTCTTAAGAGGCATGAAGAAACAAGGCTTGTATACCCTTGAGGCTGAAGTTGTAAGTGGTTCGAAAAATGTTGCATCCACGAAACCGTTGTCGAAAATAGAAATTTGGCACATGAGATTAGGCCATATCAGTGAAAGGGGTCTAGTCTAATTAGGGAAACAAAATCTGCTTGGAGGAGACAAAGTCGAAAAGCTGACATTTTGTGAACCCTGTGTACTTGGAAAATCTTGCAGAGTGAAGTTCAACAAAGGAAAACAAAGAACTCATGGATCCCTTGATTACATCCATGCTGATCTTTGGAGGCCTTCAAGGTGTCTATCACATTCAGGAGCAAGGTATTTTCCATCCATAGTTGATGATTATTGCAGGAAGTTATGGGTATTCATCCAGAAGACTAAGGATGAAACTTTTAAGAATTTCAAAGGTTGGAAGACTCTGATAAAAAATTAGACTGACAAAAAGGTCAAGAGGTTGAGAACTGACAATGGCCTTGAATTTTGCAATGAGGCGTTTGACAGTTTTTGTGTTGCCTCAGGTATTTCAAATCACAAAACTACTGCAGGGACTCCACAACAAAATGGTTTGGCAGAAAGGTTTAATCGAACTATTTTGGAAAGATTTAGATGCATGTTGACTAGTGCTCGGTTAAAGAAGGTGTTTTGGACTGAGGCTGTTTTGACAACAACATATCTGATATACAGATGTCTTTAGACTGCGTTAGATATGAAGATACCTGAAGAAGTTTGGTCGAGACATCCACCTAGTCTCGACAAACTGAGTGTATTTGAGTGTGTTGCCTATGCTCATATTAGGAAAGACAAGGTCGAACCTAGAGCCTTGAAATACATGTTCATGGGATACCCTGGAGGAGTCAAAGCTTATAGGCTATGGTGCTTAGAGCCAGGTCACAAGAGGTGTATCACCAGTTGAGATGTAGTTTTCAATGAAGCAGAGATAGCTTTTAAGAAAACTGATGATGTTGACGAAGAGCTGGAACAGGGAGAGATTCCGTTGAGGTGGAGCATGTTAATGCTGAATTGCGTATCCCAAATGAAGTCGAAGAAGACGCAAAAGATGTTGTCGAAGATGAGGAGACTGATAATGACTACCTGCTAGCAAGAGACAGGTCGAGGAGAGTCATCAAGCCTCCTCAGAGACTTGGGTATGCAGATCTTATATCTTATGCCTTAATCTCTGCAACTGAGGTTCTCGATGAAGAACTTAGAGACTACAAGAAAGTTATAAGAAGTTAAAAGAAGATTGAATGGCTGAAGGCCATGGATGATGAGATGAAATCTCTTCATGATAATAACATCTGGGAACTGATCAAGAAACCTGCTGGAGCCAGGTTAGTCAACTGTAAATGGATTTTCAAAATTAAGGAAGGAATCGAAGGAGTGGCGTCGAAAAAAATACAAGGCAATATTGGTCGTTAGGGGTTTCTCTCAGAAAGAAGGTGTCGACTTAAATGATGTGTTCTCTCCTATTGTGAAGCACAAATCCATTTGAATGTTGCTTGCCACGGTGGCACAGTTCGACCTTGAACTGGAATAGATGGATGTGAAGATTGCATTTTGTAGAAGCACTTCAATCTCAAGGTTTTGATGATGTCAACAAAGTCTTAAGCTCATTCCATTATTGCAAAAAGTCAAGCTTTCAAAATTGATCAAGATACTTACACTATATACCCGTGGGGGTATATGTACTAAGAAGCGGCTTGCACTATATACCCGTGGGGGTATATACACTGAAGATAAAACCAGAAGCATATCAAGACTATGGAATGTTGTCAAGCAAATCAAGCATCATGTGCAAATGATCCTACAACTTTCAAGATTTGGACTCAAGCTTCGGTATATCAATTTTCACTCCTTTAATTGATATACAAGTGTTCAAATACTTATCATATTTACATTTTGCATCTGCATGTTTTAAAAAATCATTTGGATTGGTATAACACTTTTTAACTTAGTATTTTTTCTGAGTTTTAACAGTGTTAACCGATTAACCATATGGGTTAATCGGTTAACGACCTTAGTTTTTGAATTCTCAGGACTAACGTTCAAGTGTTAACCGATTAACCTATATGGTTAACCGATTAACACTGAACGAATTTTGAAAAATTGTTTCTGTTAAAATTCAAATTTTGTTTGAATGTTATACCTTTTCATTATTTGATTCATACTCAATTATACCTTTTTGAAATGGTGTTTTGCTCATATAAATTCTGAAAATTTCAAATTGAAAAACACCTCCAATAATTTTAAAAATAATCATTAAATCAAATTCACTACTTTTCAAATATTTTCCAAAAGTGTTCATATTGTTCATACATTTCATATCCAGAATTTTTGAACACTTGTATTAATATTGAAAAGTGAATTCTGATCAAAAAGAGAAGATCAATCTTTGTATTGATATTACTATCATATCACTCTCAAGTTACAAAATTACAAGAATTATTTCTTTGTGACTTGTGATTCAGGATTGTTGAA